GTTAGTGTAGTAGTCCTGGAAGATACTGGATGTTATAGATGGCACAACAGTAATGTAGTAACAGGTTAAGACCAGATGGGTTCTGTGCAGTAGTCCTGGAAGATCTGGATGTTATAGATGGCACAACAGTAAATGTAGTAACAGGTTTAGACCAGATGGGTTCTGTGCAGTAGTCCTGGAAGATCTGGATGTTATAGATGGCACAACAGTAAATGTAGTAACAGGTTTAGACCAGATGGGTTCTGTGCAGTAGTCCTGGAAGATCTGGATGTTATAGATGGCACAACAGTAAATGTAGTAACAGGTTTAGACCAGATGGGTTCAGTGTAGTAGTCCTGGAAGATCTGGATATTATAGCATAACATTATATGTAGTAACAGGTTTAGGATGGGTTCTGTGTAGTAGTCCAGGAAAGTCTGGATGTTATAGATGGCATAACAGTATATGTAGCAACAGGTTTTGTCCAGATGTGTTCCGTGTAGTAGTCCGGGAAGGTCTGGATATTATAGATGGCATAACAGTATATGTAGTAACAGGTTTAGTCCAGATGCGTTCCGTAGTAGTCCGGGAAGGTCTGGATGTTATAGATTGCACAAAAGTATATGTAGTAACAGGTTTAGACTAGATGGGTTCTCCTATTGCATAAGGCACCATCTTGTTTGAATTTGGAATTGTTAAGCAGAAGATGACTTGCTTAAAGCAAGATTGATAAGTTATTGGAAACAATGAAAGAATGGAATGAAGATTGAGAAGAAAGAGAAGAGAACTTTAAATAAGGATCAAATTTTGAGGAACATCTACATTAAAAACACACAGATTAAAACTGTAGCTTTATGATTGTCAAGACTTTAGGCTTAATAACACATCACCTTTAATATCAATACTATAAGAGTAATATACATAAATGAGATTCAAGATTAAAAGAATCTTGAAAAATATTGGATCCATAAGATAATGTTAAAAAAATAACAAACTTACATTTTTTAGTGAACTACTTAAAACATTTCCTTTCTTCAAGCTGTCAGAATTCTTTCTTTCTGCAGACCCATTACATGTATTAATAACCTGCTTCAGTGCTGTTCTAACCTCAAGTAACAGTTGAACCAAGATCTCTAATCTTCCTTCAGTCTATAATTGGAAATTCAAATCCTAACTTCAGAAACTGGATATCTGACATCTTCTCTACTCAACTTAAAACTACTTGTTACCTGTCAAATTAATGATTTTTTTATACCAGTCATAATAAAGGGCTATACATTTTGCAATTATATTGATAAATTTTGTGTAAAACACTCAATGCTGTGAATTAGCTGAAACATATAAGTCAAATCACTCACTTTTGATGTAAAATACAAAGATCTCAACAATAATTAGTGGTATTAATAATTTTTAACCATTTTTACATAACACATTGGTTAACAAACAAATAGATCTACACATTTTATGTAACACATATGTTGTCAAGAACCTATATCCACCAAAGTCATTGGTTAACAGAAAAATAGATCTACACATTTTATGTGACACATATGTTGTCAGGAACCTATATCCACCAAAGTCATTGGTTAACAAACAAATAGATCTACACATTTTATGTGACACATATGTTGTCAGGAGCCTATAGCCACCAGTCATTGGTTAACAAACAAACAGGTCTGTAAACATTTTAGAAAAATGTTTTAAAAGTATGATTGGTCTCTATATGCCCTAATAATAATTCTAAGGTTATGTTAGTTTAGGTATATATTTGAATCTACATTGTAAAGTTATTATTTCTAGATTCTTACAATCTACAGTGTAAACTTACTGTATGTAGATTTCAACAATTCACAATGCACAGTTACCCTGTAGATTCTTAAAATATACAGGGTAAAGTTACTGTTTAGGGATTTACAATCTACAGTATAAAGTTACTGTTTAGGGATTTCTAAAACTTACAGTATAAAGTTACTGTTTAGGGATTTCCACAATTTACAGTAAAAAGTTATGCTTTAGGAATTTCTGAAACTTACAGAATAAAGAAACTGTTTAAGAATTTCTAAAACTTACGGCATAAAGTTATAGTTTAGGGATTTATATAATTTACAGTGTAAAGTTACTGTTTAGGGATTTATATAATTTACAGTGTAAAGTTACTGTTTAGGAACTTCTAAAATCTACAGTGTAAAGTTACTGTTCAGGAACTTCTAAAGTCTACAATGTAAAGTTACTGTTTAGGAACTTCTGAAATTTACAGTGTAAAGTTACTGTTCAGGAACTTCTACAGTCTACAATGTAAAGTTAGCATTTATGGATTTGTAAAACTTACAGCATAAAGTTACCATTTAGGGATTTATATAATTTACAGTGTAAGGTTACTGTTTAGGGATTTCTATAATTTACAGTATAAAGTTACTGCTTAGGAACTTCTAAAATTTACAGTGTAAAGTTACTGTTTAGGAACTTCTAAAATTTACAGTGTAAAGTTACTGTTTAGGAACTTTTAAAATCTAGAGTGTAAAGTTACTGTTTTGGAACTTCTAAAATCTACAGTGTAAAGTTACTGTTTAGGGATTTCTACAATTTACAGTATAAAGTTACTGCTTAGGAACTTCTAAAATTTACAGTGTAAAGTTACTGTTTAGGAACTTCTAAAATTTACAGTGTAAAGTTACTGTTTAGGAACTTTTAAAATCTAGAGTGTAAAGTTACTGTTTAGGAACTTTTAAAATCTAGAGTGTAAAGTTACTGTT